CTCGCTGCTTCCATCGTTGAAACAGTCGCAGCAGCGTCCTGTGGAAAATTATCACTGGAGACTATTATTAGCACAATATCTAAAGTAATCTGTTCACATTTGAGAGGAAGTCTTGATACTAGAAGAAGCTTTCAGCAGCTGCACAAAACTTGTTTATTATAAACCATTTAAAAAAAAAAACAATTCTGCAATAAATCTAAATCCGTTCTAGAATAATGTACTATACATTTAACATACTTATATTATGAGGCCTAAAGATGCAAAAGACCAACAGAAAATGCCTGCTCAATAAACCCCTGGAGGAATATTCATGTGTTGACGGTACCCAACAATATTCAATCCATCATACAAGTTGCTCTAATTTTGTGGGGCAAGCTGCAGCTGTTACATAAGTTTTCATTTTCATCTTCCCCAGCATCAGTTCTCCGTTTCTCTGAAGATACACGTTCGTCTGGCAGCACTGCGACAGTAACTTCTCCTGTGTAGGTTAAAGTGACACTGCTGCTGACTGGTGTGTCAGCATTTCAGTGAGCAGATAAATAATTAACCGTAGGTGTATGTATGAGTCTTCCTGAAGCCTGACACCCGTTTCCATACACACAGGAAGTGTTTATCTCTATAAGAGTGAGTACAATACAAATGAGGAGGGGGTTCGAAAAAGTACAGGAGTCTGTTGCCAGTTTGCAACTTAATACTGTCACAAGCCTGTGGCTGCTGCTGCTGCTGGAGTAAAACATGAAAAACATCAAGACCGCCTTAAAAAAAGAAGAACTTCCTGCTTCCTGTCATACATCCCGAGGGATTAGGCCTATATTATGTAAAAAAAAAACAAAAAAACCTGCTTATCTTGGCAAGTCAAATGTTATACACTTTGTCAACATATTAAGCCCACTATAAATTATACCACAATATAGTTATGCATGTTGTAATCAAACAGCCTAACATGATTTAAGAGACGTAACTTAAAGCTTAAATTAACAAGAACAAACAAAAAAATATTAACTCAGTGTTAATTTAGTAACATTTCCCAAAGGTTCTTATCAGATGACGGTGCAGTTGAACTCTGGAAAAATGTGTGTTGATTGCTAATCATTTTCAAGCTCACTCACATAAAATGCTAGGTTAAATACAGAATTCTTGCACAACAAAAACTGTTACATTTGAGGTTTTAATATTTCCAAAAACTATGCCTGTGACAACTGAATGTTCCAGTTCATGAAGACCATGAGATGTAGCTGGTCAGAGAACTTTGAATGTTTTTCTGACCAGTTAATGTCTCTCTCCAGCAGAGGCACCATTTCATAATAAATTTTGTCCTTTCCTAAATTAAAGGTTCATCAATAAAGTGCAGTAATATTGGATAGTGGATCAATTATACACCCTCCGGCCCCTTTAATTGTCTCACCTGTATAACTGTATGCACTTCAGTGTAACACTTCCACCTTAACAACTGTGTATATGAAGCTCACAATACATTCAATTATATATTTATTATCGAGGTCATGGTTAAAGGTGTTGCTGTTGTACTGGACTGCATTATATTCAGAGGTGTTTCTGTATTTTTGTCAACCCGAGCTACATAAGTGAGAGGTCAGAATATTAGGAACACCTTTGAATATAATGCAGTCCAGTACAACAGCAACACCTTTAACTATGACCACAATAACAATTAACCTATAATTGAATTTATACATTTATGACAATTTCACCAAAAACAAACATTTTGAGCTTCATAAATACAGATATTAAGGCGGAAGCCTTGAATTGAATTGCATACAGCTGTACAGGCGCACCTATTAAACTGACCAGAGTATTAAACTACACGTGTTAAATCATCATATGTAGCAAAATTAACATTTAGTTTCATCTACTGTTACATTTTACATCTTAAAAATTTACAGTTTAGGCATCAAGCCAGTGCTCTAATCCAGGACAATGAGCAAGAATTACATTTGTTTAGTCCTTCTCAAGGCCACTGCAACAGCTCATTAGAGACAAAATAGAGTGTGGTTATAGAGGAATGCTGTATGACGTAGATGTACAGTTCTGCAGAAACATAACAACCCACTAGATGCTGCTAACAGCTCTTTAGTCTGCTGGTACTGTAGCATTGATAGTCTGTCTTTGAAAAGTTCAGTCCTACAGTTTGAACTTCTTGGGGTCAAACAAACCTGTTTTTTGTGCTAGGGGTGCACAATCCCTTTTCCAGCCAATTACTAAAAAGAATTCTGCGTTTGTATGCACATGGTGCAATATTATGTCATTCTTACTCCTTTTTTGTTCTCAAAGCAATACATGATTCAGGTTTCCTTCCAAAGTGCTGGATTTGTTACATCAAAATTAAACGTGTTAGCAATAAGAGTAAATAAAATATGTTACTAGTTAAGGTTTTTATGTTAAAATGAAATAAACACCAAAATACCTTTTGCCACAGTTTGTCATTATGATTTCACTGCACTGATGTAGAAGGATTCGATTAACTGAAGATCAAGTCTGTACATGTTGCAAATTAATGTTAATTTCTTCTTAAAGACTTGTTGACCTTCTGTCCTTCTTCCATAGTGCAGATATACATTTTAACTTCCACATAATTAATAACAAGCAGTCACTGCAGCTATAACAGCAGCACATGAACTCCTCAAATACTGATCTGCCTTTACAGAATGAGGGGCAATGCTCCTCTCTATAGTCCTCTATCAATATTAGGAAATGCATGGTGCTGAAATCAAGCTTTAACATGACTGAGATACAGTGACATGCCCTTTAAATTATTTTGTGTGGCACGTGCATTTTCAAGCTGTCCAGTTCAATTAATCACAGAGGTTACACAGTACAAATACTCCTTTCCTCAGAGTCAGAGCATAAAGTCATAAACAGTAAAGCATTTACATCAGTACAGTCAGAGTCCAGTCTCATGTAATGTTTTCTGATTTGAATAGTTATTGGAATGCCTAGTTTGTTCACCCGTTGACGTTTAGCCAACTTCAGATAGTGGCACCTACTGGACACATACCTAGCTAATGTTGATGTAAAATAATTTTAACATTTTTTGTGAATGGGACAGATGGAGTTCTTATGTACACGCGTATGAAAGGACAACCCAGAAACATAATGTCTGGTTGAATATCATCTAACTAAACATGACTTAGTCCTGAGGTTCTCTTAATATTTGGGCTCTTGTGTGCTCATAATGCAGAAATTCAAGGATTAATGCACATGTGAAGCTTTTATCTATGTACTGCATGTGTGCATATATTCTGTGTATGCTGTGCTGTATGTGATAAGCAGTGACCTACTTGAGTATGTATTAGAATGAGTCTAAAGTGCAATTTGTCAGTTCCTGATAAATAGCCAGTGCATGACTTCATGCCTGGACCTTCACACAATATTTGCTCAGCCAGATTTACTAATAAGTCACTAAAGTGTAAGAGAACGTATTACAATCTGTATTATGGAATTAACATACAGCAAAGGCAGCTCCAGCTGTGATTGGGCACCAGACAGGAGGGCAATAATCTAACTTCCTAACCTTTAGCTTTTGCAGTAGAACAGAAAAACAATCTTCCCAGCAAGCAATAGCACTGCCACAACAGTTAGCTGCATCACCAAGATAAACACCAACCAACACTAAACATGACTTGCTGAATTAACAGGTTGTCAAAACCAACAATTCACATAATATGTACAACTCAAAATTTCTGATCAATCATAAAAATAGTAACAGAAATAAATCACAGCTGCACAGTTCTGTTCATTTCAGTCAGTGTTCATTTTCCCCAGATCAGTTCAGTTATGCACATGTGAGAGGGATTCACTTCAGTTCAAGGGTCAGCTTAGTTCAGTTGTGGATTCATGTGTGTGTGTGTGTGTGTGTGTGTGTGTGTGTGTGTGTGTGTTAAAGGGGGTTGAGGAGGGTGGTGCAGGGAAAATTGGCTGAGGGGTTGACAATGTGCTGCGGGACCCTGGAGAGTGGAAACAAAACTTTACTTAGCTCTCAGGAGTTGACATCCAGGGAAGGAGTAGGCTGCATCCAAGCAGATCAAGAAGAGATGAAAGTCTTCATCCAACGTGCTCCAAAGATTAGCACTTTAATGGTCCAAACAATCAGTTCCATGGGTTCCTTATTTACTCCTCTGCACTCTGATCCTTTAACTTCAGTTTATTTTAGGGTGACTTCCAGATTTAGAGTAAAATTGGTCTCCACTCTCACTCCACTCACTGCCTGTTCTTCACCATGTTCTCTTGTTAGTCAGCCCCTCCTCCTGCTCCCAGGTGCACCTCATTTAGCTCCTTTACTTTTCCTACTTCCTGTCTCTATAGGTGTAACAGCTCCTACCTTCCTCCTTCTGTCACACTCTCCCCATTGATAAGACCACACCTAGTGAGCTCTGTGCCTTAAGTGATGCTGTTATATTGTCAGTCTAAAGTCTTCTTCTTCTGAGCTTTCCTATAGGTTGTTGAATACTTTTTTCTTTCCGAATTACATTTATATATTACATATTATGGATCTGAACAGTGATGAGGTCTGCAACATTTCAAGTAGACAAAGCTTTTGAACACTTATTACATACAAATTTACAAGGTGAACAGATGTAAAATAACCCAGATGACTATTTCACAATAGCCCATGGAAGCCTTAGAAACCAATGCAGTGTACAACAATTCAGTACTATTTAAAGTAAATAATACAGTATGGTGGATACACATTAAATCAAGACTTACAGTATCTGGCGGTGATTCCCATTA